AAAAAAAAAGAAATCAAACAACATATTGTGTCAGGCAAATTTGCTGCAAAAGATCTCTTCAAAGTATGAAAGAGCAAGTATGTCAGTTTGAGGACTAAGGTGAACATGACCCAAGCCATGTTATTTTCAATTGCCTCATATGCATTTGAAAATTGGATAATGCATAAGAAAGACTGTAGAAGAATCCATGCATTTGAATTATGGTGTTAGAGAAATATATTGAAAGTATTGCCAGAAAACAAACAAATCATTTTGGAAGAAGTACAACCAGAATTTTCCTTAGAAGCATGCCAGACTTAGTTTCTTATGCTTTAGACTTGTCAGGAGGGATTAGTCCCTGGAGGAGGACATCACACTTTGTAAAGTAGATGGTCAGAGAAAAAGAGGACAATCCTCAATTAGATAAACTGACACAGTAGCAGCAACAATGGGTTACAAAATAACAATTGTAAGGATTACACAAGACTAGGCAGTATTTTGTTCTGTTGGGAATAGGGTTACTGTTAATTAGAATGTACTCGATGGTGCATAACAACAACAATATATTGAATAGCAAAAATGGAAAGCAAAAGCAAAGAATGAAGAGCAATAATCATGAAAAAATCCTTACCTTTAATAAAACATTATCTTTTACATTTTTGTTGTTGTTGTTAGTTTCCATTTAGTCAGTTTCAGCTCAAAACAATCCTATTTCCAACAAAATGAACATTGACTGGTCCTTTACCATGATTACAATCCTTTCTATTTTTTTAGCCTATTTTTGGATCCACTATGTCAATATATGTCATTAAAGATCTTCCTCTTTATAACTGAACCACCAAGCATAATGTCCTTTTTCATGAATTGGTCCCTCTTGATAACATGTCCAAAATCAATGAAGTGAAGTATCACTATCCTTATTTCTAAGCAGTATTTGGCTGTACTTCTTCCAAGAGATATTTGTTTGTTCTTCTGGTTGTTGTTAAGTTCTGTGGAGTCAATTCCAACTCAGAGTGACCCTCTATAAAGTTTCTGACAAGTTGTTGTTGTTGTCAGGTGCCATCGAGTCAGAACCGACTCATAGTGACCCCATGCACAGCAGAATGAAACAATGCCCGATCCTGGGCCAACCTCACTACCGCTGCCACACTTGATGCCATCAATGATGCCACCTGGCTGATCCATCTTGTTGGGGGTCTTCCTCTTTTTCTCTGACCCTCCATCTTACCCAGCATGAAATCCTTCTCCAGCAACTGTTCCCTCCTGACAATATGTCCAAAGTATGAGAGATGAAGATTAGCCATCCTGACCTCCAAGGAGCACTCTGGCTCTACTTCTTCCAAAACAGATCTATTGGTTCTTTTGGCATTCCATGGCACCTTCAGTATTCTCCTCCAACACCACAACTCAAAGACATCAATTCTTCTACGATCTTCCTTATTCACTGCCCAGCTTTTGCATCCATACGAGGCTATTGAAAATATCATGGCTTGGGTCAGGCGCACCTTAGTCCTCAAGCTGACATCTCTGCTCTTCAACACTTTAAAAAGTTCCTGTGCAGCAGATTTGCCCAACGCAATACGTCGTCTGATCTCTTGACTGCAGCTTCCAAGAGTGTTAATAGTTGATCTGACAAGTGGCTGGTGGATTTGAACCATCAGCCTTGCAGTTCAAACTGACCTTGTGGTTCAGTGTTTATCCTACAGTGCCAAACCAGGACTCTGTTCTTGGAGTTTTTGATATATTATCTATTCTTTGCCAATACAAGATTTTCCAAGGTAATACATCATTTTATTACTTTAAACAAAAAACTTACAATTTGAATAAAAGTTTACAGAAGAAATCAGTTTTCCATTCAACAATTCTTGCACATTTTATTTATTACATCTATTTTGGTCCCCTTAATGTAACAGTACTCTTCCCATGCCCTGCCTCTGTTTGCTGTTTCCATTCATCCTTCTTTACTACACACTGTTGTTTGGTTTCTTGATGGATACCTTTATAGATTTGGAGGCAAATAAAATATAATCCTTGACAACTTCAATATTTTCTCCATTTATCATGATGTTTATTACTGGTCCAATTTTGAAGACATTGCTTTCTTTATAAAGGTTGAGGTTTAATGCTAAAGGCTGTATTCTTGGATTTTCATCAGTAAGTGATCAAAGTCCCATTTGTTCTCAGCAAGAAAGATTGTTTCATTGAAGGATGACAGGTTGTTAATGAGTCTTCATCCAATCTTGATATTGCACTCTTCTTCATATAGTCCAGATTCTCAGATTATTTTCTTCTCATACATATTGAGTACACATGGTAAAAGAACCCAACTCTGACACACATCTTCCTTGTCTTTCAATCATACAGTATCCCCATATTTAGCTTAAACCACTACCTCTTTTTATATGTACAGTTTCCGCATGAGCACAATAAGTGTTCTGGAATTCCAATTCTTTGCAATATTATCCTTAATTTGTTGTGATTCACAGAGTTGAATGCTTTTGAAAAGTCAATAACACACAAGTAACAGTTTTTATATTCTCTGTTATCAGCCAATATCTATCTAACATCAGCAATGACATCCCTCATTCCATGTCCTCATTTGAATCTCTCTTGACTTATCTTAAGTAAAATTTTGTTAGATAATTTCCAAAGGATTACCTTTCTTAGGAATGGACCTAGATATGGATACCTTACACTTGGTTGACAAGTACATATTTTCCAAATTTGTTGGCACAGGGTGCTTCCAGAGTTGCATCTGTTTGTTGAATTATCTCAATTGAAATTCTGTCAATTCTTGGAGGCTCATTGCTGATAAATGCATACAGAACCGGTTGAACTTCTGCCTTCATTTCCACTGTTTCTTGACCATATGCTCCTTGTTGAAATGTTTGAATTCCAACCAGTTCTTCTTGGTAGAATGATTCTGTGTATTCTTTTAATTCTATTATTCTAAGCATGTGTTATTTTTCCATTGTGGGCAAGAGAATGCATTTTTTCTCAAATCAAATAATGAGTATGATACTTTTTACATGTTTAAATTTAAAGAAACAAACAATTCCATTTTTATTTTCTGAGAACATCTTATACTAAATCAGTATTTTTCATCCTTTTGCTTTAAAGCATTATCTGCCTCATCAAATGCAAATCACAAAAACTTGCCTGTCAGTATCCATTCTTTGATTCTCTTTCTGCATTTTTAAAGAATAATTCTGACATAAATTGAGTGAAACATCACTACAGTACATCATAAAATGTCTGGCAAGGGATTTGGTTTTTTATATTTCCTTTATACGAAGTCATTTTTTGAGATTCTGCATAAAGGATATTTCAACAACAGCAAAACAGATAAGAGGATAAGTAAAGCATTTCATTTTTTTTAAAAAGGAACTGTTATTTTCAGAAACGAAAAGCCTTATAAATCTCCCAACTTAGTGATCAAAGCATTTGGTTCCAAAGCTGGGTTAATAATTCCATACTTACATCTTGATTGGTCATCTCCCAGTAGGGTCTCTCACCATAAGACACAACTTCCCACATAACTATCCCATAGCTCCACACATCACTGGCAGAGGTAAACTTTCGAAAAGCTATTGCTTCAGGTGCAGTCCATCTGATTGGGATCTTGCCTCCCTAAAAAAGAAAAAGAATTTTAAAAATTCCCTTGTAGTACTTCAAAAGTATCCAGGGATATTGCTGGTTCACTGAAGAGATCTAGAAAGAGATGTAGCATTTTTAAGTGAATCTATTTGACAGCATGTAGTCTATTTTCACATATCTCAGCCTATAAGCACTTGTAGACTGACTACTAATTGACTGTCCTGAAGGTTTCTAGTTTAAATTCTGTTTGACTACTGGAGCACATACAGGACCCACATCTCAATTACAGTACTCAGGATGGCAGTGTTAAGTAGGGGAAAGTAGGCAGTCAAGCAAATCAATAAGATATGCTTTCATGACTTTTTAACAGAGAATAACGGACTCAAATTCCCTGGGTGCCTTTCTTTCTACTCTTTAATACAAGAATTGTAAGTCTATGTGGCTGAATGCAACCTTAAGAAATTTAACAGTTAATAAGACAAGCATGAAAATCAGATATCTTAAACACTTAAAGCCATACATTTCCCCTGGCATGTGTTTTTCCTTTCAGAATTTCTTTTCTCTTCCTTTGGCATATTGTTTAGTTTCATTGGTTAGACTGCTTTATCAAAGAAGCAGATATCTTACTTAATACAACTGAATTTAAAAGCGCTGAAATTATAGGAGAACATCTATACTTTTTTTTTTTTTTTTTTTTCCTAACAGTAAATACTTTGGAGATTTTCTCAAAATTCACAAAAGAAAATTTTCTGCATTTTATCGTAGGTAGAATAATATTTCTTCATTTTTAAAAGCAGGCAGAGCCAGGCCACCAAATATTTAATTTATAGACTATGTGTTTTATAGAGAAAAATGGGGCAGTGTAAGTTTGGAATATTTTCTTGCATAAAGAATAACATATATTCCCATTTTACAGGAATGCAATACATTAAAATCATATGCTAAGAAAAATGGGACTTAAATTGCTGTCTAGTAAGCAAAATTTTTTCTTTTATATTTAAAGCATTAAGGCTTGAATTCACTGAAAAATAATGAGAATTATCCAAAGTTTATGTTATTCTCTCTCTCCCTGACTTCATCAGAAGAATACCTTTTTTACTACTTTCTTAAAATCTTTAATCATTTAATTCTTGTCTCATATTTCAGAAATGCATTCTGATAGATCTTACCCTAGTCGTGTACGCTGCCTCAGGATCATCTTCCAGTACCCTGGAAAGTCCAAAGTCAGATACTTTGCACACAAGGTTACTGTTGATTAAGATGTTTCTGGCAGCAAGGTCTCTATGTACGTAGCCCATGTCAGAAAGGTACTTCATTCCAGCAGCGATACCTCTCAGCATGCCTACGAGCTGAATTACAGTGAATTGCCCATCGTTTTTCTGCAAAGACAATGTAGAAATATTAGCCTAGCAGCACTCTTCCCGAGGGGAAAATATCAAAGGATCTTTCTTCAACACCCAAACTAATTTTATCACCCTATGTCAATTCACATGCAATTTTTATTTGAAGGAAAAAAGGAAACAGCTAGAAAAAATACAGCTAGCTTTGTTTATCAGTTTTTATCAATCTATTAGTCATGCAGTTGGTCAGAGCAGATAAAGGTTTTAAAAACTCTCATAAAATATGCTACCCTTTGTTATTGTAACTCTTTTATTCTGACTAATCAGAGGCGAATATTCTTTCCTTGAACCTAGTACCTGTATAATTTTGAGATGAAATGACAAAAACTAGTTGGATAGACAAGTTGAGGCAAAGATGAAATGGCCAGAGAAAATAAGAACAATAAGGGAGTCTTTACAGAGCAGATGAAAGAACTATGTTTTCATTTATCTAGAATATGTTGTCTTTGGCAAGGGCAAAAAACTTACTGTAGTCACACAGAATATGACTCCTGTGGTGGTTACTTTGAAATAAAGGAATGATGTGACCTTAATAGACTTATGGACTTGGAGATATGAATAGAAAATTTGGAAAGAGAATATGGTAGAGGCTAAAGATTGAAGGAAACTTTTGCCTAGTACATTGCCTTCAAATCCATTGCATAGGCTAGTAATATAATTGGCATCAACATAATTATCATATATTGTTGTTGTTAAGTGCTGTCGAGTCAGTTCTGGCCCATAGCAACCTCATTCATATAGGGTTTCATAGGAGCAGCTGGCGAGCTTGAACTACAGACCTTGCAGTTCAAACCAACCTTACAGTCTAGCACATTAGTCCATAGCACCACACCAAGATTGGTACTTATATTGAAAGTTACCAACTACCAGCCCATAATTTCAATCAAGTCTTCAAAAATATTACATTCTTTAACCTAATATATTTACAAATAATATAATTTGCCAACATTTAAAATTTAGAGAATTTACACATTAAAAATATCCCCCAAAAAAGATATATGATAGGATGAATGTAAAGCTTCAGTTCTCCCATGTAAACTATCACATAAGTCACAATAAAACATTAAAAAATATATCCCCAAAGATCTGACAATATTGGTTACTATTACTTGGCATCTCTATTGTTGGAAGTAGTGGCTGGCCGTCAGATGAGGTCTGAAAAAGTACGACTCCACAGACCCACTAACCTTTTTCTTTATGTAAACGATTTGCACAGATCTTTTGACATTTGTCCTTGCTCTGCTTTTTATTATGCTCTGCTTCTTATTTGAGGAAGAGAAATGCTTATGAACATAGTTCTTTTTTTCTATTCTTCTACTCCCCTTGTCTCTTTTCTTGTACTCGTCTCTCCACTACTGTCCTTTTGTCTCCATTCCTTATCTTTCCTTTGTGTTTCAGTTACTTTCATTTCTTTCTTTCCTGTCTTCTGAGAACTAACAACTTACACATAAGTAAAAGCATTTAAAAAAGAAAAGAAAAGAACACATTGACATTGAGTCAGTTCTGACTTATGGTGACCCCCTTGTATAAGTTTTATGAAAAAAATTTTCATAGCAAAATGAATCATAGCAATATAATTATTCTGATTTCAGATATTTCTATTCCATTTAATCTATCTTTAAAATTGCTCAGTGTCATCTTCAACATCAAGGTCAAGATATAAATAACACTTTGAATAATTAATCATAAATCTTACCTTTAAAAATGTATCTAATGAGCCATTCTCCATATACTCGGTCACTATCATTACTGGTTTACCTGAAAAGAAAACAGTGATGATATATACTGCTTCGGTTTGATATAGCATTCTTATCTAAGTACATTTTCCTGGGAGTTTCTATTAGTGTTAAAATTAGTTTTATTCATTAAGTGATAGCCTTGGCAGATACCACTTCTGAGTAGCAAATCCTTACCTTATATGATGATATCTTGCTCAGTGTAATGGGGCAATGAGAAGGTATCACAAGAATGAAAAGAGAGTTGACTGCCAAGATATAAAAACTAAATTCTACAGTCATCAGTACAAGAATCAATTTATGGAGAAAATGAGTTTAGGGATGAATTATATTTCAATGTAGACAAGGAATAATATGTGACATAATATCTAGCAAAATACATAATATCTAGCAACATATTCACCTTTGTCTCTGTTCTATATATAAACTCTTCTACAACCTAAATGATCTGCTTATGATCCTTTAAATACGTGTTTAACTTTCCTAATCCTATTTCTATGTTCTTATATAGTTCTTTCCTAATGACTTCCTCTGTTTTGCCTCTCCACTGAGTACATTCTTTATTAATAACTCCCCTTTTATTAACTGTTCAAAACACCACTATAATTTCCCTTGTAATCTGAAAACTTTTCTTGCTATCAATATTCTTGTTGAAAGGAATCCTCTTTGAATGTCTAACATGTAAATCAGGCAGTCTCTGGAGTCACTCTGCTTGATGCTGAATCCCAGATCAGTCACCTACAACCATGTTATACTGAGTAAGTCAATTATCACTTTTGTGCCTCAGTTTTATCATCTGTAAAATTGGGTTGTGAGATTCCACCAAGAATTCTTTTTCTGCACATTGATAATGCCTATCACTTAGAATATGTTAAAAAAAACAACAACAGTTACCTATTTTTGTTTTATAGAACCCTGGTGATCAGACCCACCAGTCTCTATATGGAAGAAACTTGAGGTTGTCTGTTCCTATAAACATTTAAAGTAATAGAGGCCCTATGCAGTGTCATTATCATTAGGAATCTACTTGATGGAAGTGAGTTTGTTATGGTTTTCTGAACTTTATCAATATTGTATCTGTGGATTATCTTTATTGGTAGGTGTAAACTAAAAGAATATCATTCCCCACAAAATTAGGATACTCGGATATTAAAAAAATCTGATACAAAGTAAAAAATAAAAGGTAAAAAAATCATAGCTATATTGAAGATATGGGCTGAGTTCTACCATGTTCCATAGACTCCTGTTGACCTCAGGATGAGAGCGATATGAGGAAGGGTGATTGGTCCAAAGTTTTGGGAGACTGAACCCATGGACAATGAAGCATCCATCTGATATGAAGTGGGTGAGAGATGCACAAGAACACTCAAACTTGAAGATAGTACCCATTTGACCTAGCCAAGATGGCTTGATGATCAAAGCTTCACTTGAGGAAGATAAAGAAATTTGATAATGAAAACAAGTGTAAATTGCTACAATTATATGAACTTGCCCTTTACTTATGGATGTTATAGCTCAAATACCAACCAAGAGGAAAGGAGTCTTAACTTCATGTATCAATCCTATCTCCTTGGTATACAGGGTTGATAGGGGTAGGCAACTTAGATATCGGCTACCTAAAATGGAATGGGGGTGCTATAAAGTCATTAAGTGGCTGGCTTACAAGTTTTCAATGGGGAGCTTAGTTTCAGAGTGTGCAAGGGAAGGTAGAATCACCACTGAATAATTTTCATCTTGTCGAGATGGGTCTGGTGAAAAGAGATGGGGGATAAGATGATTTTGATTCAAAAGTGAGTCATTGTTATCATGACTAATTGTCACAATTTTAAAGGTAGAAGTTTTGTAACATTTAATGGGTAGTAGTTAATCTTACATCCCAGGAACAGAGGACCCTAGAACCATCAAGACAGAGGAGGTAGAGTATAAAATGGGACCCCAAACAGAGAATCAGTAACACCAGAGATGGAGGCAGAGGTGATGGCATAGAGTGATAAAGCAGGCAAGGACTCTAAACTCATAGAAAGAAAAGGTTGTGTGCTGGCAGCCAGGAAGCAAGCTTGTAGAATGTGCCCTTTGGTTGTTTACATGGTTATATGTTGTGAGTGTGTCTGTGTACATAAAAACAAAACAAAACAAAACAAACAAACAAAAACACAGAAGGAATAGAAGTAAATACTGTTAAATGATGATGCATGGGGGGGATTGTAATCATTGCAATTAAAAAAAAATATGATAGGATGAGTGCAAAATTGATGTTCTCCCATAAACTATCACTTAATTAACAGTAAAAGCTTTTAAAAATATCATCCTGATATCAGAAAATATCTATAACATGATTGCTAGCTTTCATATCTATAACATGATTGCTAAAATTCACTCTTGTGTATTTTAAAAGATTCCTCTTTATTCTTTAATAAAAATAAAATACATAAAATTTAAACCATTTTGAGATAAGGGCAAGGGAACCTTGTAACAATAAAATTACCCTAATACTGTTATTTATTCACTTTTATAAATTATGAAGGAAAGCAAAAGCCTATATAATCATCAAATGCATTATAATTAAGCTAATGGAATTATCCTGAAGAGTGTCTGCATTTTATTTGAAAAGTGATTAATTTAGGTAATTGAATTAGAGTTTGCATATTTAAATATACAAGGACAATAGGAATGAAAATATAATAATGAAGAGTGGTAGTTGTTCTGTGCCACTGAGTGTTCTGACTCATAGTGACCTCATATAGGATTTTGGGTAGCATAGTGGTTATGAATTGGGCTGCGAAACTTAAGGTCAGCAGTTCAAAACTATCAGCTGCTCCACAGGAGAAAGATGAGGCTTTCTGCTCCCATAAAGATTTACAGCCTCAGAAACCCTGTACTGGGTCGTTATGGGTCGGAACCAACTCAACGGTACTTAACAACAATATCTTTACTGGCACAGAAAGTCTCATGTTTCTCCTGCGGAGCAACTGGTAGATTTGAACTACTGACCTTGCAGTTAGCAGTCCAGCTCATAATCCACTATTCTACTAGGGCACAGTGGACAGTTAAATTACTCAAATATGAAAAAGATATAACTGGGCATAAAATATTTTGTTTGTTTTTTAAATTCCAAGATCATTTAAAGCTTATTGTTAAAAATTCACTGGGGTAGAGAACATCTGGCCCACAGGCTGTATAAGGCCAGTGAAATCATTTGGTCTGGCCCTGCCAATGTAACTGCAGTTGCAGTCATCACATTTGTTGTTGTTGTTATGTGCCCTTGAATCTGTTCTGACTCATAGCAACTCTATATAGGGTTTCCCAGGAGCACTTAGTGAGGTTTGTCACTTGGGGTTGAGTTAATTAAATATTTGACCATATCTATGGGTTAATTTTTAAATTGATAATTTTATATGGCAGGAATATTACTTTGAAAATATTTTAAAAGGAGAGAATTATCTATAAGAGAAATTATACTGGCCTATTTTATTCAGGCATTCTGGTGTGTTGTTGTAGGATAACCACTAATCTGCAAGGTCGGTTTGGAAGGTAAGGACGCTATGAACTGCAAGATTGGCAGTTCAAACTCACCAGCCACTCTTCAAAAACCATATACTGACATTTTGAGTCAGAACCAACTCCGTGGCTTTTAACAACAAGAACAATTCTTTTAAGGAAATGTGGTGGCAAGTACATTACTAAGGCAAGAGCATTTCTGTCATTCTCTCTAAAGTATATAAAAGGCAAGGCATTAGATATGCAGATGTTATATATTTGGAATGGCATTTGATTTGAAACTTGAAGAGAGTGAAGGGCTTACTGCAGTAGTAAGAGGTGACAGATTTCCAAGAGGAGGGGGCAGAACATGCCAAGTGTCACAAAACAGTCCATCAAGTTCAAATATAGCTGGAACTCTGGATTTTTTCTTTTGAAAAGTACAAAAATGTGACCGAAGGTGATAGAGAATAATGATTTAAAAGTGGATGTGAATGCAGTTCTTTACTTATTAAAAAGAGAAAAATAGTAATTTGGATTTTATTTGTAAATGGCTCTAATAACATAATTTTTTTTTTTTTTATTAAGGATATACTTTTCCTCTGAAGTATAACTAAAGAAGAGAGAAATGTTTCCATTTAAAACTTTATCTTATTGATAATGCCACTCCAATTTTAATGAACTTCAGACAAGCTATAAAATAGACACAATTTGGCTTTGGGCTCTTTTGGTTTCATGTTTTCATATCAAAGCCCATTTCAACTTTGGCTGATGGGTAAGTACATCAACCGTAGTATGGGAGTAGAATTCTGGAGCACATTTCCTACCAGACTTGACCCCATTCATTTGTTGGGCTTCAGAGCATCATAAATATCCAAGAAGGGAGCTGATTAAGCATATGTTGTTGTTGTGAAGTGCCGTCAAGTCAATTCTGACTCATAGAGACCCTGTATAGGGTTTCCGAGGAGCATCTGGTGAGTTTGAACACCCGAACTTGCAATTCAAATGGCTTTGCAGTCTGGTGCACTAACCCACAGTGCCACACCAGGACTCCGATTAAGCATTAGGAGGGGCATATGTGTAACTTGGGCATCAGCCTTTTACCAGGATGCACAAGTATTTCAGTAATTTTAGAGCTATAAGAGGCAAAATTGTATGTACTTCCAGGACATCAGCTATGATTGAACTGAAAAAGAGGCCTAGATTTTTTGGTATCCATCTGTGACAGGGATTTTAGGTTTATCCCATTCTTCTTATGCGGATTTTTTGCTAGATTTCTACTTGATTACTTCCCTCACTACTCATGGAAGGAGTTACCATATAATGAAGCACTGGCAACCCTAAATTCCAGCAGACATTCATGTAATACAGTCTCATCTTCCTTTAACTGGCACCTCTCAGCATATATTACATAAGCAGTCACCTTGTCTATAAAAGAAAAATACTAATCTATGTCTGGTGGTGGTGGTGTGCCATGGAGTTGGTTCCAACTCATAGTGACCTTGCATAGGGTTTCTGAGGCTGTAAATCTTTATGAAAGCAGGA